ATACAAATGGAGTCATAGCAGGTATGTTATTTCTTCAAATGCTCGCTCATTCGTTGAAAGATTGCAGTGACAGGATATTAATATTTATATTAATGTTTTGTTTTGTTAATGCTTTAAAATGTTTAAGGTTGTTAACGGCTTGTCAACTGTTATCATTTTTAGTCAACTATCAGATATGACCCATTTCAGCCATAAAAACGATTATCATATGAGGCGGCCGCTTGTCTCTCACGCTCTGGTATGACCACAGAAAACCCTTTGCTATTCCTGTTGTTCGCAAATTAATGCCTTACAATCGCTCATCAGACTTTTCTAATGTACAATGTGGCAATTCTTTCCTTAAGCAAATTAGCGGTTAATAAGACAAAATGCACGTTTCTCTACCGTCACCACAGAGTCCTCTTATGGAATATCGGTTTTAATTTTGACTCTTATTTTCTCAAGCGGTTAAATTTTAATATTATATTGTAATTAAGCTGCATTAATCTTTAAATGCTATTTTCTATTACTTTGTCTTCAAAACTGTTGATTCAATGACCATTTTGAAAAGTTGCCATAAATATGTTATTTTAGGCGATTTGCTAATCATCGCTGCACAGCTTATTGTCGCAGCCCAAATGGTTTTCGAAGAACTCTATGTCTTGAAATACAACGTTGATCCGCCGCTGGCAGTTGGTCTTGAAGGTAGTATCGTTTCTGAAGCAAACATTCTTATATATTATTTTTTTTATTTCAGGCATTTACGGCTTTATTATAATGACACTTTTAATCGTTGCTTTCTATTTCATTTGGGTTCCACCGCCATTCACAAACGACCCTGAAGGGCGACTTGAAAATGCCTTCGATGCGTTTGATCAAATGAATGCAAATTCACAAATATTAGGGTCTTTGATAGGTAAGATGCGCCTAATAAATGTTGTATAGCAATGATGAAGAATTTCAAGCTCACTGAAAACGTATCATGCAACAACTATGCTGTAGTATAGTAATGTGCTTAGATTATTCTCCAACAAATCACAATACGTCATGCAAATGAGATAAAGGCTTAAATAATGAACGGCTTATTAATTTAAAATAAACTTTTATGTGTAATTTAAAAAAGGCATAACGATTTTGATTCTGCTTCCATTGCTTAAATTTCAGAGCGTTAATTGAGGGCATCGGACAAGCATATGTCAGAATTTAATAGCTAACGCGTTTCGCTATGCATCCCGCAACACTGTTAGGAGATAACTGACATGTCGGAAAGCGGTAGCCTTGTACAAAATGACATAGACTTAAAATAAATTACAAATTAACTCCAGATTCTAACCAGCATATTTGCCACTAAATATTACTGTTGAATGCTAACCACTCATTACGTAACTCCAAACTTTCTCATTGGTTGATGAGAGCACCCAAAGCTTTCACATATCACAAGAAAGAAGGAGTATTCGTTGCATATTACCAAAAA